TTTATATTTTTGGATTGGGCGGGATTTGGCTATTTTCTTTATGTTTATTTTATTGTTAGAAACCGCCCATAGTAGTGGCAAGGCCACTGGATGGTTTGGTATAAAATAAACATACATGGATGGATGGATGGATGGATCGATCGATCGATCGATCGATCAGTATTCACTTAGCTTCCGGTTGCCAAAACTCTTGTCTTTTTGTGAAATGCCCTACTCGAGGATAGTAGAATGGGCTAGATGGAGCTCTTCCCAGCACAGCTGTGAGAGACAGAAAGTTGCATGGGTTAGAGTTCAGATTTTATGTGTCCCTCCAGAAATTGGATGTTTGTGGGCAAGTCACCCTCTCTTCTAAGCCTCGGTTCTTCTGTTTGAATGGTGAACATAAGCCAAGTTGATTTGGGGCCAAAGGACAGTAAAGTTCGGTGGTGCAAATTGCTTTCAAGATAGCTTATTAATTCTTTCTGTAATTTCAGGAGCAAGATCTCCACTTCTCTGGAGCATTTTTAAGGCATTTGAGGAGCTGCATGGGAAGGGACGGAATTACTATTTAACTCTGGAAGGTTGTTGTGTTGCTGGGTGGGACTAGTATTTTCCCTGGATCAAATGGTTTTAATTGCATTCCATGCCTTTGACTTTGACATGTTTTAATAGCTGTTGTTGTTTGCTGCCTTGTGTCCCATTTAGGGATGGGGGAAAGGAAGTCTTTAATATAATAATTTAAAATAAGCAATATGAATAATAATACTGTAATTGTGTGCTCTCAACTCAACTCTGACTTATGGAGAACCTTCCTAGGGTTTTCTAGGTAGAGAGTACTCAGAAGTGGTTTCCCCTTCCCTTCTTCTGGGGTTGCCCTAGGGCTGTGCAGCTTGCCCAAGGCCACACAGGATGGCTCTTCTCCCAGGAGACCCAGTGGGGAATTGAAGTCCCAACCTCTGACTCTGAAGCCAGATCCCTAAACCACTGAGCTGTCCAACCAGCCAATCATCTCCACAGACCATCATCTGACATCAAGTGGTTGGACTGTCTCTCTGGATTCTTTGTTGCAAGTGCTGATGCCTCACCTGGGGCAAGAGAAACGCCCCTTGGTGTGAAACGAGCAGGTCCATCTTCCTGTCCTGCTTCCCAGCCGACCAAAGACCATTGGAGCCTCAGCTTCAGGATCTGTCCTTCCAGTGAGCACTCAAGGTTGATTTATTTCAAAATGGATGGGTTTCTTCTCTTTATTCTTTAAGTTCATGTAATTACACGTGGCTTCTTGGAGAGTCTTTAGAAGTGCACTCCAAGTGTATTAGAAGTACCCTACAAGCATAGAAGTACTGTTACTTGAGTGAGAACATTGTGAAAACCAACTGAGAAGTTATCTGGAAGATGAGTCATTGCAACTGGACTTCTTCGTTACTACATTATGTTGACATGTTTCAATGCTCATCCAAGGAGCTTCTTCAGTCTGAGGAGAGTTGGTGGGAGACCACTGATACATCTTCCACATTGGTTTCTCTTTCCCCTTGTCTGAATAGGCCTCTCCGATGGACAAAGGATGGGGGATGAGTTAAAATCCCACCTCTGCAGTCCTCCTCCACCCATTCTCATTGCCCCTGTTGTGTTTTGGTATCTGGTCTTTTGGGTGGGACGTGGTGGCGCTGCGGGTTATACCGCAGAAGCCTCTGTGCTGCAAGGTCAGAAGATCAGCAGTTGTAAGATCAAATCCACACGATGGAATGAGATCCCGTCACTTGCCCCAGCTCCTGCCAACCTAACAGTTCGAAAGCATGTAAATGCAAGTAGATAAATAGGTACCACCATGGTGAGAAGGTAATGGCGTTCTGTGTCTATTCATGCTGGCCACGTGACCACGGAAACTGTCTACGGACAAATGCTGGCTCTACGTCTTGGAGACGGGGATGAGCACCGCTCCCTAGAGTCCGACACGACTGGACTAAATGTCAAGGGGAACTTTTACCTTTTGGGTGGATGTCTATGCCTTAGTATGTTTGTGTCTTCTCCTCAGACTGAAATTTGTAGCTCTCCTCAGACTGGAGAAGCTACTTGGATAGCTTAGGTTGAACGTTTCAATCTAATAAGAAAGAAGTCCAGTTGCCATGACTCAATTTCCAGATAACCTCACCCGGATGACTGAGAATCTTCACAGATAAACTGAGAAGTTTATCTGTGAATTTATTCAAACCCTGGGCATTTTGCAACAGGCAAAGTTCAAAATGCTGTCAAGATAATACCTTGGTGAAGAATATGATTCAAACAGGAAGCAAGCTTATTATGTTTAAAAAATCTTGTCTCGGACCATAAGCAGGATTAGTTGGCTTTACGAGATTTCAGTCTCAATTCTCTCTTTGCTTTTTGGGTCATCATCTTCTTTCAAAGAGGTTATAAAGAAGCCGGAGGTGATGGACCCTGAGCCCTGTCTGAAGCACTATGTCAACCAAGAGCCTTCTTATAGTGGTGTCATTAAAAAGGGGTGGAAGACAGGAAACTGGAAGAATTTCATATATTTGTATACTGCCTGATTAGTGCTGGGCACTACTAGAATTGCGGACCTGCTGGCTTAATCTCTAGAACCCAGTTGATCAGCCATGGTGGGCAGAGCGTAGAAATATCTGGTATCTCTTCAATGGAATGTACTGGCTGGCTGCATGCCTTTAGATATGGGATCAAAGTGTTACACGCTGACACTTTGGCAGGACATTTACATCTTCTCCACAAAGACGTCTGCACTAGTTCTTGGCTAAAAATCTTTCCCACTAAACTGTACCTCTTAGGTTTATCCATGAATTTCCTACACACTCATGAACTCAAGAAGACAGTCAAGTCTACCCTAGAAAAGCAGGTCAAGGATTTTCAGTATTCCATATAAAAGTACCTTCAAAATCTGCTCAACTTTGGTTGAAATTACGAATTCCACCAAAAAGCTAACTACCTGGAAAACTTGACCATCCCAGAATACCGGCAGGCCTTTTTTTTCAAGAGCTAGATTTAACTGCCTTCCATCTGCCCTTTTAGAGGGACGCTACCATGGTGTACCATATGAATATCGACTATGCCCCTGTAAAGATAAAGAAATCTAAACCTTGGAGCATGTCCTTTTCATATGCTGTTTCTACAGGGATGACCGTGCCAGACTCCTTAGTCCAGTAATGAGAGATTTCCCAGGCAGATTCTTGGACTGGTACACAAGATACTTTCTAGCGGACCCAAAGAAGCCCACTACAGAACTTGTGGCCAGGTTTCTTTTTTTCTGCACAGAGAACATGAAAGGAAATTCTTGCCTGTGCTTTATAATATTTAATGTTTTGCAGCTGAATCTACTTAAGTTTAAATGGTTTTAAATCATTCTTGAAATTTTAAATGTATTTTGTTTGGTCAGTGACCACAAATTAAATACTACTGCTACAATTGATCAGCCATGGTGGGCAGAGAATAGAAATATGCAGGTTGAGCCAAAGCTTGGAAATAATGAGTTACAAGTAACATAATTAGTTATAACTGATTACTTTTGTGGGCAATCAAGAAGTTATATTTTGAAAGGAATGCAATGACCAGGGACAAATTTACTTACTGGCATAAGGTTTTTATGTTTTCAAATTAATTTCAGAGCATTTTAAAGCATTTTTAGATGTACCCTGTTTCTCTGAAAATAAGATAGGGTCTTATATTAATTTTTCAGGTTAGGTCTTATTTTCAGGGAAACAGGGTATGCTGACAGACATTTAAAATTTTGTGCTATTCACCTGTCAATCCGAAGTGGCAGAGTCACAGCTTTTGTGTTGGACGGAATCGAATTGATTGTTTATGCCAGTTAAATTCAGTGGTGTGAACCAGTGGTCCCCCAACCTTGAACTTCAACTCCCAGAAATCTTGGCCAGCACAGGTGGTGGTGAAGGCTTCTGGGAGTTGTAGTCCAAGAACATCTGGAGGCCCAAGGTTGGGGGACCACTGCCCACACCACTGGATTCCCATTGCTTACTCTTCAAGTACCAGTCCCATGACTTGGTGTACAATGAGATATACAAGTAATGACTAGATTTGTGCCACTGGTGTAAATAGCCAGCAGAATTCTGGCCACTGCTTTTGGCATTTTCAAGGTGTAGAATCAGAATTGGCCACTAGATGGCACTGGATAGTATTTTATCTGCAACTTTTTTTTAATGTGCCGGGAAGGGGAAAACCTCAGAGGTATGAGTAACTGTAACAATGATGTAACATCTGGTGGGCTGAAAATAATGCCAAGTTCTTTAATGCTTTTAAAAGTAATATTAGAAGCTCTGGGCTTGTCCAATAACAGAAGAGGGGGAACTTGGCATGGACAGCTAGAGAAGGAGAACGTATTAGAAGATAATGTTGACTTCCTTCTCTTTTGTTCAGCTGGTGGGGCCATGCAGCGGCGGCAAGGTTACATCGGGGTGCTGGCTCCGTTCTGCGTGCTGGTCATCTTCCTCCTCCTCACCCTCACGGCCTCTTACAAGCCAGTTATTGTCATCCACGGCTTGTTCGACAGCCCTTCTGACTTCCAGCTTCTGCTTGAATTCATCAATGAGGTGAGTCTACGTGCCCTTCTGTTGAATTACTTTCTGTGGCATCTAGAAGCCACAGTAAGGAAGATGGTGAGGAATTCGTGGCAGGGTGTGAATACAGGCTGAGGTTATATGGTTTTTAAAAACCTGAATAGATAACACTATCTTGTATTTTTTTTTAAAAAAAATTAAAGGAGCAGAACATCATGCACTATATTGAAGGATGTAAAACCTCATTACCTAAAGCAGAGAAGAACAACATTTATATAGCAAATCAAGAACATGATGTTTGTTGTGGGTTTTTCAAGCTCTTTGGCCGTGTTCTGAAGGTTGTGCAAACTGCACCAGAGTACAGACAGAGTTCTGTCCTCTGAAGATGCCGGCCACAGACTGGCGAAA